GCCATATCGTCTCGGCGGAGGTTAATCCGGTAGCAGACAGCCGACGACCCATCATCCTCCCACCACGGCTCGACGGCAGCGTCGATGGGAGGTCAACGGCGGCGGCGCCTCGCTTCGGCATTAACTCCGGCGGCAACGGCGATATGGGTTTAGGGCTTTTTCTGAGACGGCGGTTTCCCGCGACGGCATTGACGTAAGGCCGACGGCGTACCCAACAGCGACGGCGAACGATGGCCAACATGTCTCTAAGTCCGACTACACAGGCTGAGAATATGTCACCGTATTCCCGGTGTGGCGTCATCAAAAGAAAGAGAGAAACAGAGATGCAAGGGAGGCGGGCGAGACGGCCGATTCGGCCCAGCCGAATTAGGTACGTCTCCAGTCCAGGGTTTCCCATCAATTTTAATGATTTCTCTCACACGGTTTTCTCTAGTTTTCATCAAATAAAATAGATGCATATAGATCAAAAGCAGGAAATTAATCTACCGCTAGATCAAGAGCAGGATCAAAAATCTACTGCAAGCAAAGCATCCATAATATGATAAAAACGAGAAAATATAATCAATCTATAAAAACAGCATATCTTAATAGACACATGCCTGGATATATGTATCTATGAATTAGTAAATTAGTTTAGAAACCAATCTTACTAATTACCCAGGTTCGCATGCTCACAAAAATCTTTCACGTGCATGCCGCCTCCTGCTGCGTCGCAGGTCGCCTCAGGAACGGCGCGGCGTCGATCGGTATATCGCACGCATCTGTACGTGCATGTGTACGACAACGATGACGACAGGTCGTCTCGCAAGATACGCTAGCTGCTTAGCACGCACAGCACCTGGTGCTCGTCTCGCAAGGAGGCGCGACGATGATTCAGACCTCGTCGACCGGCGGCATACATGTATGCAAGCAAAACAACCATCAACCATTAATTAATTAATTTGTAATCAGAAATCAATCTACTGATGTAAGTGCATGTGTCGATGCATGCATGCAGCATGCGTATTGGTTGATTTGCCATCAATCTTGTGCATGGACGCCAGGAGCCAGGTCCATCCATGCTTGCGTGTGGCCAGCACATGCCATCGCGTGGAGGTGCGGCGTCCAGTGTAGCCGCAGCCGCGTGGCGGATCGCGTGGGGACGAACCGACGAAGAACGGGCCGGTGCACTAGGAGATCGAGCACCGACACTCCCTACGGGCGCGCTCGATCGTGCGAGGGCGGCGGGCCGGCGGCCACATCGGACGACAGGAGTAGTGCACGCTGCTCGCGGCGTCTCCACGGTTTCCCGGCTACCTGCTCGGTTTCCCATTGCGATGTCTCCGCAGTCGCGTGATCTCGCAAAGGAAACCAGGACAAAACAATAGATCAATCTGTTGACAAAACAAAATCAACAGATTGGAACGACAAACCGGTGAACGGAGAGCTGCTGATAACGTGTTGTAAACCAACGCGCCTATTAGCGGATCACCGGATCCGTTCCATATCCCTCCCACAATAGTATAGGCGTGAGATGATGTAGAACACCTGCGCCCATCCCTTTGCCCTCAAGAATATTGCAGAAGTAGACAATGAACACAGATATAGGGTGGAGCTCTCTCTTCATTATAGATCTTATCTGGAGTACAAGCCAACCATTAGCCATAGATGTCACACCCTCCCTCTGTATATATAGGGGTCTTAGGAGGAGATAGATCTTATCTCTACTCCGGTTCGGATTGGTCCACAAGAAAGGATCTTTATCTCCCCAGGAGATAATATTCCGTAACAACGTGAACCTTTACCTGATTAGATCCGATAATCACGGTCCTATACTTTCTTTTTTTCTCACGTAACATTGTTTTTCTTTTTTACTAAAGATTTGAAACCTATCAACTTGAATTTTAAAAACTTTCAACTACAAATTTAAATTTTTAAGTCAATTTGAAAACATTTAAGTCAGATTTTGAAAATTTCAAGTGGGATTTTGAAAATTTTTGACTTGATTTTTGAAATTTTTAGGTCAAAATTTAAAAACTTTCAACTTTTCATCTCAAATTTGAAAAACTTTCAACCTAGATTTGAAAACTTTCAACTCAAATTTAAAAACTTTCAACTCAAAATTTGAAAACTTTCAACTTTTCATCTCAAATTTTAAAAACTTTTAACCTAGGTTTGAAAACTTTCAGTTCAAATTTAAAAACTTTCAACTCAAAATTTGAAAATTTTCAACTCAAATTTGAAAACTTTCATCACAAAATTTGAAAACTTTCAACACAAAATTTGAAAACTTTCAATTATACATTTGCAAAGAGGTGCGTGAAAGATTAAAAGAAAAATAGGAAAGGAATGGCGAAAAAAAAAGAAAAACGCGTCCGGAGGCGCTAAAATAAAAAAAAAAAGTGTGAACAGAAAGAAAAAAAAGGCCGCGGGAGGAGGCCCAGCTAGCGCCCCCCGCGCAAACACGCCAGCTCCATTCCAGGCGAGGCGGTGAGCGCGTCCGCGGGAGCTGGCAATGTCAGCCCCAGACATGTTTTTTTTTTTGCGTTTTTGTTTTATTTTATTTATTTTTAATGACTTTCAACTTAAACTTTGAACTCAAATTTCAAAAACTTTCAACTTAAATTTTAAAACTTTCATTTGCAAATTCAAAACTTGAGCTAATGCTAATCTTGACCTAAAAGTTTTGAAATCTTGATTTGAAATTTTTCTATTCTAAGTCAAAAGTTTTAAAATTTGAGTCGAAAGTTTTCAACTTGAGTCAAGAGTTTTCAAATACAAGTTAAAACGTTTCAATCTAGATTGAAAGTTTATAAATTTGAGTAAAAAACTTTCAAATCTTAAGTCAACAGTTTTCAAATGCGAGTTGAAAAGTTTTCAAATCTTAGCATCAAAGTTTTCAAAATATAAGCCGAAAGCTTTTGAAATTTGAGTCAAAAGTATTTGAAATTTGGGTTGAAATTTTTAGAATTTAGTTAATTTTATTTTTACTTTTCAGTTTAAAATTGTAAACATTTTAGGAGAATTTGGTCCTTTTTTTTTTAAAAAAAAGAGTTGTTCTCACTTCTCGTGTGGGCTTTCTTATGTGTGATTTGCCTGTGGCTGGAGAGGAATAGGCCATTTGGGTCACATCTATGCAAGTGTACAAAAGCTACCACATACTCTTTTTTTTTTTTTGATAGGAACCGAAACTTTATTACTGAGGTGGTCCAGCCAAATCGCTGGTCACCAAACGCTCAAGGCCAGGTGGAGTACCGGCCCAGCTACAGGGGTCTAGTAAATTACAACCCAATTTTGCCAACTCATGCGCTACCTTATTACATTCCCTGAGACAGTAATGAACCGAGAAAGAAATGAAACTGCTAGAAATGACATTCTTGATCTCCAAAATCACACCCCCCATGGCGGAAAGATTGAAAGAGTTCTCCTGGAGTGCAGATTTCAGCAGCATCGAGTCTGTTTCAAGCTCAATCTTCATCATCCCCCTTTCACTTGCCGCTCCTACAGCCGCTGCGCAAGCAAGAACCTCAGAATGGAAAGCATCCATCAGGTGATTAGCTCCGCCAGCTCCGGCCTGAACCACCACTCCATTATGATCCCAGATAACATATCCCCATCCACCTTGTTTGGTGCTGCAGTGGAAAGCCCCATCCGAATTGATCTTCAGGACATCAGGAATGGGTTTTCTCCATTTTGCCGTTCTCCTCTCCTTCATCTTTTTTTTTTTTGAAACCGTATTCTCCTCTCCTTCATCTTCCCCTCTTTCCGATTCAACTTTAAATATTCCTCTCGCTAACCTTCATTGGATACTGAGCCAGCTCGGCTCGGCTCGTTCTGGCTCGGTATGTTAACGAGCTGACTCGGCTCGGCTCATTATCTCAACGAGCTAAAAGCCTAAAAGTGCAGCTCAGACTTGGCTCGTTAGAAAGCTCGAGCTAGCTCGTTTAGCTCGCGAGCAAATGGGGACGGAAAGCGATTTCGTCGCGGCCGGCGGCTAGCAGTGCGCGTGAACAACAAGGAGAGGGGAGGGGACTCACAAGCATAGGACGGGGAAGAAAACAGCATTGCTCACGAGCTTGTCCACCCGTTTCAAGCGTTTTGGAAGTGGATCCAGACAGCCATCACCGACGCTGGCGCCGGCATCAGCTTCGGTTTCGACGGCTTTTGGCGGTACATTCGGTCCTTCTTCGCCAGCGTCGTGGCCACGCTCGCCGGCGCAGCTCACGAGCTCGTCGGGTCGACGGCAACAATGGAAGCATGCGGCCGGCCAACAGGACCTATGCATATGCGGGCGGGCGGCCGGCATCAGCACAAGCGTGCGCAGGCAAGCGTCCGGTCGGCCGATGGGCGAGGGAGCGCCGCGGGATGGGAAGGACGACGACGCATCGCTAGCGCTCTACCGCGTACGCAAGGGAAGCGCGGCGGCGCTTTGCGGCGGCGTTGCGTAATTTGCTATGTGCTTGTTTTGGAGAAAGTACACCGAAGGTCCCTCAACTTGTCACCGAGTTAGAAAACGCTCCAACCGCAAAACCAGATATTCGGGGTCTCTTAACTAATCAAAACCGGCAAAATGGGTCTTTCGGTGATTTTGACCCTGGTTTTAACCTACTTGGCGGTTGAATAGGCGTAGGACCCACGTGAGCTCCACATGTCAGCGTGGCCAAGTGAGCCTCTCCCTCTTTCCCCTCCATTCTCTTCTCCCCCCCCTCTCTCTCTCTTCTCTCCTCTTCTCTTCTTTTGGCTAGCCGGCCGGCAGTTGAGGAGCAGGCCACTGGGCGAGGCGGCGGCGGCGGCGGCCGGTCGCGAATGGCGTCGGCGACGCTGTGTCGCCGCCGTCGGTGAAGCGGCCCCGCGCGGCCGGGCGCCGCGGCGTTGGGCGCGGAGGCGGAGGCGAGGCCGTCTCGCTTCGTTTAAGTCCCTGTCTCGGGCGGCGAGGAAGGTGAGGACGAGGTTGACGTCGACCGCCGCGGGGTCATCGCCCTCCGTCTTGGCGGTGGCGCGCGCCTCTCGGAGTCGCTCGCCGCTCGGCACCGGCTTCATCGACAACCCGCTCAGCACCGGCTTCAGCGCCGCGCCGTCCCTCGCCGCCATCCCCACCAACCAGTCCGTCGGCCAGGCGTCGTAGTGCAGGCGGCGACGGGGAAAGAGAAGGCAGGCGGCGGCCGGCGCGCGAGAGGGCGGCGGCGGTGGGGAAAGAGAAGGCAGGCGGCGGGGAGGGAGGGGACAGCTATCGTTGCACAATGTTTTTCTGGTGCTGGATCTGCTGGAAGACGCATGCGAGTCATTACTTGACAGCATCGTTGCAGAGAATGCAAAGCGTTTCTGCTCGATCTGAATGAAGCTATCTGGAGGCAATGTAAGCATCATTTTTCCATGTAACCATGTTCAGTATCTATCTACTATGTTACCCCGATACGGGGATACGGACACGGATACGCGACACGGCGACACGGGGATACGACATTTTCCAAAAATTGAGGATACGGGGATACGCTAATATATATATATATATAAATTAAAAATACAGAAAAGTAGTAAATTGAACAGGGCAAAAATAGATTGTGAATAAGTGCTAGACCACAAATAGTGCATAGACCACAAATTAATAGTTCAACGGTACATCCAAACTCGCAATGACCATAGAAGTTCACATCCAGCCCACAGGGCACGGGCACACAACTAGTTTATAAATAACAAGTTCACAGCCACAAATAGAATAATTAGGATAGACCGATAAACTTGTTCAGTACTCTAAGTTCAATTCAATAATAACTAGATAGGTAGATCAATTTAATTGCTGCTTGTATCAATCATGGTAACTGAAGTGGCTGAAGGTTCAGCATCAGCAGACAGATCCAATGCACCAAGATCTTCTAGCACCCTCTCAAGGTCAGGCTCATCAAGTGAAAGAGCAGCTTCTTGAAGAAAATCAGCACCACCCTCGAACATCTCAAAGCTGTCTCCTCCAACATCCCACATTCTTGATGGACCAGTACAGTACTCTTCAGATTTCCTGGAAAGAAGACGCAAATTCTGGTGCACAAACACCAAATCTTCAGCACGTCCAGGGTTTAGCCTACAATAAAGCAATTGTAGTCACTGATCAGTTCCATGCATTTCAAACATACAAGAAATTTACTAAGTAAGAGAAGGAACAGAACTTGTTTCTCATTGAATTATGGATCAAACCATAGGTGCTCCAATTTCTTTCAGCACAAGATGATGATGTTGGTTGTCCAAGTAATTTTAGCGCCAATTTTTTTAACTCAGGGGCAGAGTTACCATAAATTCCCCACCATTGCTTTGCATCCAAATGAGCTCTATCCTTGATTGAGTCAAAGGAATTAAACCCATTTCCAAACAGCGAGAAATCTGCAAACTGCTGCTTGATCTTCCTTAATTCATCACCAGCAAAATACCTTCTGAAGCATTTGTTTCTCATTTCTGAAATTTCTGCATCCATGTGAGGAGCTTCACGGGTTGGAACCTCAGCCAACCAGCTTTCGCAGTAGTACCTACATTTTATAAAAACAATTAATAGGCTAACAACGACTACAAATTATGGAAACAAACATTTAAAAGTAGAAGCAGAACATTACTTGGGGTTCAGTGAGTGTGCCAAGCAATGCAGGGGGGTATTACTTTTTGCCCATCGAGAGTACAAGATCTCTTGCACATGAAAGAAAAAGGAGGAATGCTCATTTAGTTCTTTCCCTTCATGACGATAAACTATTTTTTTCACCTTATCTATCATTGAATCCCACATCTCATAAACCAAATGGAGGCAAGGTTTGTCGGTGTCAGCTGCACGAATCATGGAATAGATAGGATCAGTGAAATCTAGGATATACTGCACCTTATCCCACCACACATCATTTAGAACCTTCTCTTTGACTTGCTGTGCTTGAACTTGATTGTCTTCCCTAATAAGAATTCCATTTTTCACTCACTACCATCAAGATTAGAGATTCTTTGATAGCACGGAACCTCTTTAACATTACAATGGTAGAAGCAAATCTTGTATCAACAATGGCAAGAAATTTTAGCTTACTGAACTCATTGAACATGGAGAGCCTCATTGAGTGGTTCATGATGAAGTTTTTTATGAAAGAAGAATCTGCTGCTACCTCAGTGATCCACTGAAATTCTTCATAAGCATCCCCACTTGAACTCTTGGCTGCACATATGTTCTTCAAGGCCAGGTTCAAGGTATGGACAACACACGGCGTCCAAAAAATGTGGCTGTACCTCTGTTCAACTATCAACCCAGCAGCCCTGCAATTAGCTGCATTGTCAGTGATAACCTGTACCACATTCTTTGGTCCAACATCCTCAATGACTGCAATCATCTTCTCAGCAATATATTCCTTCCTCTTAATTTCTCCTTCAGTGTTGATTGCTCTTAAAAACATTGGCCCATCTTCTGTCACTGCTAGAAAATTCAAGAGTGGGCGCCTTTGAGCATCAGACCACCCATCGGACACAATGCTCACACCTTTTACAGGCCATGTCGACTTAAGGGGATTTAACAACCGCTCAACATGTGTCTTCTCTTGAACAAGAAGAGTAGTTCGTAGCTTGTTGTAACTTGGAGGGGAATAGCCCCCAAGCGCATTGTTGCAAGCAAACATAAAAGCCTTCCTGAAATATGGGTTTCTTGCAACATTGAAAGGAATGCCTACAGACCAAACCAAATGTCCAAATATTAGTCACATTTGTAACACAAATATGAGAATGTATGAGTTAATAAAACGTACTAAACTCTAGTCTAACCTGCTGTGTAGAACATTCTCGCAATCAAAGCATCAAGGTTGGAACGAGTATCTGAATTGAAGCTAGACTCAATAGCTGAAACAGCCCTTCTCTTCCCCCTACTCGCGCCCTCTGCTGGCAGTGGGATGTCCTTAGGCAAGTTCCTTTCAGCAACTGCTGCAGCTCTAGCCATTTCATCATGAAGTTGACTAAGAACATCGATTGTTACCTTTGGACAGGGAGCTACACCATTAGATCCCACCTTCAAGAGATGTGCTTTAACTCTTGAGTAGCTCCCATGCATAATATTACCACAAAGCCTGCATCTAAACCTTACATTCCCTCCCTGGCCTTTACCTGTTTTCTCCATTAACTCAACATACCTCCACAATGGCTTGTTTTCATTGTCATTGGGAGGAATCACACGGCAAGCATTCAAGAGGTTGCTTGCCCTTGCTGGACCACTAGTTCCTCTTGATAAATCAGTAGCAGAATTAGGAGCCGGACTACCACTAGGATGGCTAGATGCACTAGCACTAGCACTTGAGCTTCCAGTTCGATAATCCATGGGATCTAACAAAAAAAAAGATAGTACTTATACTAAGAAAAGATGAAGGGCATTGCATTCTTGCAGATCCACTAAAACTCTAAACGAAATAAGAAGAGCATTGCAGTATTGCTCTGCTGCAGTGCATAGAATGCTAAAAGAGGGGATTTATTATTCACCTCAACAAGGGAACGAACAGGAAAACAGATCGGCGACGACAGTGTTGTGCCGACGTCACAGTAGGAGGCGGCGAGGCGCAGCCCAGTGCGCGGCGCCGGCGCAGCTCGGCGGCGGCGACGGTTGACGAGGCAGCCCGGCAGCAGCGACGGCACTGGAGCACGTGAGGGGCGTTGGTGGTGACGCTGTTGGGCCAGCATCGGAGGTGGAGAGCAGCGTGGCGGTGCCGGCGCAGCCCGTCGGCGGCAATGGCTGATGGGGCGGCGGCGGCGCTGGAGCGTTGGGGAAGAGAGGCGAGAGTGAGAGTTGAGAGGCGGCGCAGGCTGGGTGGATATGCTCCCCACGCGCGCGCGGGTTTTGGTACCGGCGGAATATTAGGGTTAAACGTATCGGGACCGTATCAGAACGTATCGGAAACGTATTAGGAATTATTTTATTTATTTTAAAATCAGGATAAATACCGATACGTCCTGGACACGTATCCGCCCGTGTCCGATACATGTCCGTATCCGATCGCGTGTCGGACACAGACACGCGCCTGCTTTGCCGTATCAGTGCTTCATAGTCTATCTATGCCATTTGATTGCGATTCAGAAAACCAGAAAACACTCACATCAGCATGCATGTACCCATGTTCATACAATGTCAGGCTGAAGTCATACTTATCCTATCTTACTATAAAGTTATTCCCACTAACTAATTAAGCTTAACATATAAAGATACCACATCATTATCCACTAACAAGATGTCACATAATCATCTACTAATTAATAAGATGCCACATCATCATCCGCTAACAATCATCACATTTAAACATTATACAAACTTGCTATATCTTTATAGTTTTTATAATTTAAGAGAGCTTTTCAAATACAAACATGTTAAATTATCATCCAACATAATTCACATAATGTTTCAATATATATCTTTATTATGTTTTATGATATCCTATTACTTATATAGTTCATCCTCACTTAGTTAGTGCTTAAATGATTAAACTATGGTCCAAATTATCTTTCTCGTTTTTTCCTCTAATTAAGTCATCATATCAATTGTTTTTATCCTTTAGATGATTAATCTACGGTCCAAACTATCTCCCTAGTTTTCTTCTTCCATAAAATCATACCAACTTACTTTTTACGTTTGAATCACCATTCTACATACTATTTAAATTTAAATTATCATAAACCATATTAATTTACTTAATCTGATATTATATAGCTATCTTACACGTTATTTTTTTTATTATTATCATACTAAATTCCCGCAGCAATGCGCGGGGTTTAACCTATCTAGTATCTTTCGTGTACACCATGATTTACACTGTAATAAAATCACCAACTCGAATTAGAGAAGCTGAACTGTTTTGTTAGTAACACATTGCACATGCAGGAAGAAGCCAAGCCACCCCTCGCTGAGGAGCAGCGCGACCTCCGCGTCAGCGACGACGGCGAGGTAGTAGTCGCCGCCTCGCCGGTAGGCTCGGGGGACGACGAATCCGACGCGTACGTGGCCTCGGCGGTGTCCCAGTGGATGCCCACGGCCGTGTCGGCGGCGGTGGCGAGGGACCTGCTCCCGCGCTTCTTGTGCAGCACATGTTGGGCGCACCTCGACGACGGCGAGAGCGCGTCGTCGAAGGCGACGGCGAGGCAGGTGGCTCCGGCAGCGTTCCGCGTCCACGTGACCCGGATGAGGAGCTCCTTCCCGGAGTGCAGCGAGGCACCGTACACCGCCGTGGTCGCCGCCTGTAGCTTGCGATCCAGCGCGCCGCCGCACCCAGAGTCACCGGCGGCGGCAGCGGCGGCGGCGGCGGCGATGCCTACCGAGCTGTCGCCGAAGCACGACAGCTCCTGCGTCGCCTCCGGCTTTGGTTTTTCTTCCGGCGAGATTAGCTGCTGTTTGCTATTGCTGCTGCAATAAAAGAGAGAGCTGACGTGGCACGCTGACACGTGGGGTCCACGTGGGTTCCACGATGACTCAGCCGTCACGTAGGCTAAAACCGAGGTCAAAACCACCGAGAGACCTAAAGCGGACGGTTTTGTTAGTTGAGGGATGCCCAGTATCTGGTTTTGCGGTTTGAGGACGATTTTGTATCTCGATGACAAGTTGAGAGACCTTGGATGTACTTTTTCCGCTTGTTTTAGCCTAGCCTAGGGTTTGGCATATTAAGGGCTGTGGTGGGCCTCGTGGATGATTAAGCTGCTACTATAGGCCTTGTTTGATGGGCTATCCACCGGTGGGCTTCAGCTTGTTTTGGCTCACGTGCAGCTCGAGCTGGCTCGTTATGTCTAACGAGCTAAAATGCTGGCTCGGCTCGTTACGAAATTTAAACGAGCCGAACCAAGTTTATCACGAGCCGAGCGAGCTAACGAGTCACGAGCTTCCTGTCCACCCCTAATGACATAGGCCAAATCAGCTGGGTCTGTGGCTTTTCCTCCTTCCCTTTCTCCGCCTCCATAGTATTTAATATGGACTGCATTGCACTCAATAGGATTCCATAAGGTCTCTTAAGTTCTACGTTGCAAGGACCTTTCAAATTAATTTGAATTATTTTTGGATTTTGGCTATCTGTCAGTAATCCCTTTTTGATATTGTCTTATGGAGATTGGAATTCAGTATCCACATGTACAGTTTCAATTATGATGGTATCAGTTTGCTGTATGCCTTTCTTTTCAGTGAGATTTCAGTTCTGTCTGTATATGTGAATCTGATCTTGTGCTGCAAGAAAATAATGCTTCGTTTTGCTAATACTGCAGCTGAAGGCTACACACATGACACATGTGCATATTTTTGTACGAGAAAAATGGGCACAATTGATACCTGATAATTGCATGCATTGATCTATAAATAGCCTATTAGTACTGGAGCAAAATAAAAAATGCATAACATAGAAGGCTGAAGCTCTTATATGCTCTCACAAGTGTATGGTGGCAAAGAACACATGAATTTTGGAAGTGATTTTAGAACTCACAGATAATGTTAGATCAAAGAACACTTTCATACTATATATGAGCTCACATACTGAACAATTCCACATGCACAGCATGTCACATTTAACAAAAAAACAATAAGGATCTCGTTACTGCACAGGTTCAACTAAAACACAGCTCTGTTTAGCTCATTGGCTGTTAACAATCAGCTACTGTCCACTTCTCTCATCATTTACACCATGCGTACTCTTAACTGGTTTAGCTCACGCCCGTCAGAAATCAGCAGCAGGTCACTTCTTCTCCTTATCAATTTACACCATTGTATGCTCAAGTTGTAAGTCAGCATAATACGTGGCAATGAACATCGCTTCAAAAAATTCATCAAGAAGCCCAGAAAATTGTTCGTTGACCATATTCCCGAAATCTTTTTCAGAGAAGAGTAGTTTCCTGCCCTCTACCACCTTCGACATGAAATGCTGATAAGTATTTCTTACCAATCTCAGCAAGGAGAGAACATCATCTCCGTAGATGATTGGTACGCCCGTGATGGGATCTTTCCAGTAAAAGGTCTCAATGAAATAAACGTTGTGAAGATCCATCGGGCTCCAACCAGAGAATATCTTGAGACGTTCAAGCACAAAATTGTATCCTGCTGGGTCTGTTGTTGGCAATACTAGCAGTTTATTGTACAATGATGTAAAGACATGCATCATTTGGTGCTCTTCCATCAAACAGTAGTGATAGCATATCAGATACTGATAAGCAGTTGGATCTCTCATAATCATACTTAGCCATCTGTGAATATCTTCAGGAACTGGTAAAGATTCAAAGAGTTCTTCAATAGTCTTCACATATTGATAAAAGTCAACCTCTGCATTGGCCTTTGTATAGGGGTCTAAATCATCAGCTTGAAACTCATCCATTTCAATGGTCATCTCGTCACTTATCAGAAAATTTCTCAATGAGAATCGACCAGCGAGTGAGTTTGGCTGACTGTGCAACTTGTAAAGGGACCTAACACTTCTTCGTAACACAAGTCGAGTGCTCATTCTTGTGATTTCATATTTCCTTGTCCTTCCGCATCCAGGAGGAATGATAGTATCTGTTAACCTCGTTCTTCTTCTTCTAGTATCAACTAAAGTTGCAAGAGCTGAGGACTGCAGAATTCAGTAAATTAGGGGTATGACCAGATTGATTCCAGGACACTATCTACTATCACGCCCAAACCAGGAACTAAGTTGATGAAAATACACTATAAGAAAAAAAAAATCTAAAACAGAAAACTGAGAATGGAAGATTTCATATCAACAAGAATATGCCACAAAGAAATTAAAACTTAGTGACCGCATTAGTATCTTACTGAAAACACAAGAACGATCATAGGCGAAAAGAACAATATATGCAGTAGATGCACGGATCATAGGCGAAAAGAACAATATATGCAGTAGATGCACGGTGATATTATTGAGGAGCAGGCAGATAAAAACTACACCCTCCATCCCAAAATATAACTTTTAACCTTCAAAATTTGTCCCAAAATAACAACTTCACAAGCATTCCTTTCCCAACCAATGACAACCCTACATCATTCAATTTTTCCACCTTCCTCCACTTCTCATCCAACCCCATTAAATTATACCTACTTTCTTAATGACTGTATCCAACCGTAAAAATCCTTATATGCTGGGACAGAGGTAGTAATAACTTAACTCTAAAGCTTAACAGCAGCAAGTAATCGCTTCATTTTTGTTGGTTGTTCAGTCACAAGGCAGGATAGATACACAAAAGTTTCCTAAGTTCAGCAAAAAACAGTAGGACAATTACAGAGGCCGTCACGATCCAATAGTGTCAATTGCATGCAAAACATAACTACAATCCACTATTAACTTATGATTTAGTACGCGCGTACAAGAAAAGATATTCTGCTGAACAGCTAGCTGTACAAGAACTTGTGCGTGCATGTACACAGTATTATCTGATGATCTACACCCTGAATTTCATAATTCATATACTTCCATATTTCAACATTGTTGAATGTTAAAGGGAATCAAACCTTATGATCCTTGCGAAGCGATGATTTTGACATGCTTGCTCTAGGATTTTGATTGGAGCAGCCAGGTCGCTTTCTTTTTCTACCTGAACGCTGTTTACAAGAGAACTGGTTAAAATCATATATCTAACCAGACTTGGTAGCAATGTCGAGAATCAATATAACAATCAAACATTTCATTCAACCTAGGAAACAAGGTTGAATTGGGAATTAATGTATTCTAAAAACAAGGGAATACATGGCACTATTAAACAAGAAACTTTTGATTCGACAATTGTTTCAACTCTTCTTAACCACACTATGACTTCAGGGGCAATTATAGGCAGCAACCCAGCAAAAGGCTGAATCTTTTAGACCAAACAAGTATGGTCAGTAGTTTGCATCTACGAGGCCTGACTTAAGAGAAACCATGTCCGGTGATACAACCCCAAATACACATCCAGACAAAAGTTTCCTATAAACAGTCCGATAACACTGAAAGCTGCTCATATATCTAGCTTCAGGATTTCTTACCAAAATATCGCACTAGTCATAATATCGGCGGAAATTTCCTCATATTTTCGCAGTAAAAAAAAATTGTGAATGTACACAAACTGACAAACATGTGGTCCAGATTCTGATTTTCAACATTATAAAAGATTACAAGGAGTCAAGTCTGGTGATCCGCATGAAGGTGACAATTGTGATTACATTCTTTTTTATGGATTTCAATTGGACAACACGTTCACCTTCATCTTATATCCAAAAGTTACTCCACAACAAAACGTGTTAAAATTAATTCATATTAGCAGACTTAAACCCAATTGCAGGGAAGTAAAAATAAAGATCAAGCATTTTACTAGGAAACAAGGAAATATGGGATGTATGGAGTTTTTCAACAACTGATTGGCAAGAACACAAAACTGGTGCTTCTGCAATTTGTCTACTCTTGCCAATTATGCTTCGGGCCTTCATAGCCAATTCCGGGTGCCAACCAGCCAAAGTTTGAATCTTTTCGACCAAACAATAGTGCGTGATAAGTGATTTTGCATGTAAGTGGTCCTTTATTTAGTGAAACTGAGCCCAGCAAAGCAATCTCTATTCCTTAGTACACATCTGGATGAAACATTCAATGAAAATGAAAGCTCATACAGTAGGAATGAAATCACCAATAAATCCCCCACATTTTTACTGTCGATTAAAATGCATCACATTAAACAGAAAATCAGATTAACACGAGCAGGAGCAACTAAGTCTCAACAATTCCAACAGTCCCAGTGTCAAATTCCATAGAAGATAGAAAGAAGACCTACAAGTAGTTAGGAAGTATTTCGCAATGCAGAAAGCCAAATTTGCCCCCCTAATTTGCCCAGTCGATTTTGATTCTATTCTAAGATGTCACAACATTTCAACCAAGATTTCTTCACTCAAGTACAGCAAAAATCAGCCAAGACTTTCACACTGGTAAATACAAATAAAGAATGCCAAGATCCTAGTTCCACATTCTAATACACAAGCTGATTCCCTAAAAAAAAAACTTTTTTTTACTGTAAAGCAAACAGAAGAACTCCCCATGTTCCTAACACAAAAGATGGCACAAGAGTTAACTTATGATTTACTGTGCACACAAGAAATATTGCTCTGAACAGCTAGCTGTACAAAAGCTTGTGAATATATATATATATCATGTGATCTATCATCCTGACATTTCATAATTCATACACTTCCATTTTCAACATTATTGAAGGTTAAAAGCAATCAAACCTTTTGATCCTCATGAGGCGGTGATTTTGAGGTGCTTGCTCTAGTATTTTGATTGGAGCGGTCCAGATGCTTTTGTTTTCTATCGAAAATCTGTTTACGAGAGAACCGGTTAAAGCCACACATCTTACCAGACTTGGCAGTAACCGCAGAGAATTGATATAAAGATTTAATAATTCAGACTAGCAAACAAGTTAGATAGGGAATACATGGTATTGTAAAAAAAGGGGAATATATGCGACTTTTAAACAACAGACTAGAATGCCCAGACCAGCCAAGAATGATAAGTAAACGTCTCCTTACCTTTCTCCTGTCATACGCAAGAATGCTACTTGGGATTGGGAGTAACTTCTCCTCATGTGGATTTGAACTATTAATAGAACTAGGAGGGAGTGGGTAGATGATGTCATAGTGAGACTCTATGCGCAGCAAGGTCACGCAAGGAGCGCCGCGGACAATGTAGTGCGTACTTTCGCAAGTTCCATCATGAACGTTCTCCACTTGGACGGTCACCCTGAGAGCTTCTGCACAAGCTTTTACTGCAGCAGAGGTTGCGTACACACGAGGAGCAATTACGTGCTTCGAGCACCACTGCATGCATCCAGAGCAACAGGTCAGTCAGGTGAAATGAGTGTGAAGAATATATAGTTGCATTCAGTTTGTAACAGGTCAGGTCTCTAAGGGAAGTGATGCTGATACTAACATCTTCCAGATTCTGATTTTCTCCACAATTAGTTGCACACCATTCATAATTCCATATGCGCGTGCACATCCAGGTAGCTGCTACTAATCTGAGGAAAGCAAAAACTGATACAGAAGAAAGCATGTCAGAATCAGGAAAGTGGATCAGATGGAAGGAATGAAGGCTCAAGGTGTTTTCTCACTGTCATCCGTTGTATCATAACTGCTGAAGAACTCAAGAATCTTCCCCCTGTCATGAGATGAAAAAAGGCGCATGTTCAGTCAGTGAGATGGGATAGTACATTTAGAAACAACACTCTTCCGGAATTGCAGAAAACCAAACATTTCAAAACCTGATTATTGATATTGGGTGCTCCTGCATGCGCTTCCATCCCTTTATTTTCTCTATCAGCCTCTCAAATGCCTGCAAGAATCAATGATACAATAAATCATAACATACCGCTGGCATCTAGCACCCAGAGAGTTTAACCAGCGTGTTACAATGGCGCTTACAGAATGATGATCATCAATAAAACATGACTAGCATAACTTGTCGGACAAGCTTCCATAGTTAAACATCAAGTATGGAGATAATCATTAGAAAGAACATTTGATGAGATAGTAGTAAGGAAGACATTTGTGATTTAGGATCAAGATGGCCAAACCATGAAGCAGCATGTGTGCAGCATTTCAGTCTTGAACATAAGACACCTATAATATTTGTTCTTCCCCATTATATTTTATCACTATTAATGTCCAACTGCAAAATTTCTTGCAAGGTTGAATATTGTTCAATCAGGAAGTTAACTTCACAAATTTATAATTAGAATTAATGTCAACAGGGTAAAAGACTGCGATGTCATGCCACTATTGTGAAACAATGGTGTGTATCTCCTGCAAATGATAAAACAAAGGAAGTAAAATGATGGATACAGATTGGTTTGTACAATACAAATTTAGATTAGAGGAATCATCCATTACAAGCATGTTTATGTCAGAAAAACCAATATAGGGGAAAAAGCAAATAGGGAAGACAAGAGATTACTTTGTGTTTCTGGGAAAATTCAGAGGCCCATTGAAGATTTTCAGCTTTGGTAGCCAATGCTCTAACAGCAGCAAGAAGGCGGTCTTCCTCACGTGTGCCTATACTATCAACAACTTGCTCCTGTCATACATTGTCAAAACTAAGAGAGTTATAATAACATTGAACATACATCCTATGCTAGGGAATAGGGAGGTGGACACTTACCAGGTAGGAAAATATGAAACTCCTATAGAAACATTCCTCATCTCTATGTACTGGCCTAAATTCTGAATAGTGATGGCTGAGATACTTTAAACGCAAACCAACTTCCGGTTGCTGGAAAGAATTATCAATGTTCCTGAAATAATGATTTGCAGCTTCTCCCATGGGAATTTTCTGCATCCCACACACAAATACACAAATAAGGGAACTCAACTAAAAATGGTATATGCATAAGAAAACAACATAACTAGAATAAAATATATTTTATGTTTTATATGCTCCACTTTTCTGGTGTTTATATTCTCTGAAAAATGCTTAGAAATAATTAGAATTATCACTTCGTTTTTATTGATTGGTTGTTGTAAAGTCATAAAAGACGGAATATATGCACAAGATTTCCTAAATTCAGTAGCAGGCCTATTCCAGAAGCCATCACAATCCAATCCTTTAATTGCTTGCAAAACATAACCAGATTTAACTTATGATTTAGTATGCATACAAAAGAGATATTCTGTTGTACATGAACAATTGAATGTACAGTGTCATGTGATCTATCATCCTGACATTTGATAAATGGTGCACTTCCGTTTTCAACATTATCTAAGGTTAAAGGAATCAAACCTTGTGATACACATGAGCAGGCAGTTTTGATGTGCTTGCCCCGCAATTATGAAACGGGTAGTTCACTGGTTCTCCTTTTCTATCTGAAAGCTGTTTACAAGAGAACAGGTTAGCATCATATATTCTCACCAGACTTGGCAGCAATCTCAGAGAATTAGTACAAAGAATAAACACTACAGACTAGGAAACAAGGGAATATATGGAACATTTAAAAAACAGGCTAGCAAGATTGGAAAACTAGTGCTTTGACAATTTTGTCAACTCTTTTCCAATCATGCTATGGGTATTCTGAGAAAATTCTAGGCAGCAACCCAGCAAGACACGGAATCTTTTAGACCAAACATTAGAGTATGCTCAGTGAGTTTGCATATACAAGGCCTATGATTTGGAGAAATCATGTCCAGTTATGAATCCCAAATACACACCAAGACAATTTTTTTCATATATCACTGTCCTAAGACTGAAAGCACATACATGCAGCTGCAAGATTTCTTACCAAATTATCACATTAGTAATAATATGGTGTGACAGTTCCTCATATTTTCGCCGTAAAGGAACTTGTGAATATACACTAGATCATGAGGTCTAGGATTCTGACCCTAATTTTATATGCCCATTTTCAACATCATCACAGGTTAAAAGGAGTCGAATCTGGTGATCCTCATAAAGTGAGGATAGGTACTTTTTTTTGTGGAATTTTGATTGGACAATGCGTTCACCTTGCTTTCATGTTCAAAAGCTATTCCACAACAAGATCGATTACAGGATAGTAATATCAGGATCAAACATTTCACACTAAGAAACAAGGAATAGGGGATACATGAAACTTTTCAATTACAGACTAGAAATGTCACAAAACTGGTGCTTCCACAATTTTCCTACTATTGCTGATTACACTTCGAGCCTTCATAGCCAATTTTGGGTAGCAACCAGCCAAAGGTTGAATATTTTAGACCCAACGGTAGAGTACACCAAGTGATTTCGCATGTAAGTTGGTCAATTATGTAGAGAAATTGAACACGGTAATGCAATGCCAATTCCAAATACACATCCGGATGAACCATTCAATGACAATGAAAGCTCATAAATTCAGCTTTAGGATTTCTGAGCAAAAAATCACACTAGACATGACATCACCCAATAAGTCCCCCACAATTTTACAGTGTGATTAAAAGTGCATCACGTTAAACATCAAATTACATTAGATCAAGCAGGGGCAACTAATAAGTGTCGACAATTTCGATAGAAGATAGCAAGAAGACCTAATAGTAGTCAGAAAGAGTTTATTCCCAATACTGGCAATACAGAAAGCTGAATTGCCCCCCAACATTTGCCCAGTTGATTCTTTTTTTTTTCTTTCTTTTTTTTTTGGTCATAAGGCCTAGTTGATTTCAACTCTGTTATAGGATGCCACATCATTTGAACCCAGAGTTCTCCGCCCCAGGTACAGTAAAATCAAGAAATCAAAGATTGCCAAGATCCTAGCTCCACATTGCAACACAAGAATACAAGATGGCACAAGAACCGCATCTAAGGAACAGGATAGCACGTTCGCAACGGTGAAAGATGATCCCAAGATTTCACACGAACGACAAAAATGCCCAGCCCCAGACCAATCAAGAATGACAAGTAAACTTCTCCTTACCTTCTCCTCGGCGTCGCCATGATACGCACGAATGCTACTCCTGAGAAGCTTCACTTTGGGGGAATCAGATGTCCTCTCCTCCTTCCTTCGTGCCTGCAAGAACCCAAGAAATGCTCAAGAACAAATCCAAAATACTCCAAGGTACCCAACACAAACGCCATGACAGCACAAATGCAAGATGGGAACCATTACCTGTTCCCGATCATCAGAGACTGTAAAAGATCCTTCTCCGATCTTTCTCTTTCCTTTGCGGTCCACCAATGCAGCGGCGGCGCTCAAACCGTCGATGCCGCGGCCTCCGCCTCCGGGCTGCTCACGGGCCCGCCCCTGGGTGAAGCGCTCGGTGGGCGAGCGAGGAGGCGAGCGCGGCGGCCGCGCCGGCCCAGAGACAACGGCGCCGCCCTGGGCTGCGGTGGCGCGGGAGCTGGACTCCTGGGAGTGGGACTCGCGTCGCCCGCGCCCGGATCGGGATTCGGTGATATTCCCGGTGATATTACATTGAGTCACTGACATTCCGAGAATGTCACGGAGAATGTCACCGAATCCTAGTCCCCCGCGCCCATGGATCGGTTTCGTCTTTTGGTGGGTTCGACGCGGACGCCATCCACGCGGACGGGAAAAACTTGTGGGAAGGGCGGAGGGGCTGATTTGCTAGATCCCAATTATGAGAGGGGGCGGACCAGAAATGTGTGGAGGTTGTTTCTTTTAATTCTTGAAAGGCAAGAGGCTTATCTATAAAGGTGAAAGTAGTTCTGATTCGTGAGATGGAGTAGCTGATAGGGGTAGGGACCTGGCATTTTTCCAGTTTACCCCTTTTAATTCTAAAAAAAAGTTTGCCCCTTTTAGGGGAATTTAACTATTTATCACTATTAGGTTTAGGGGCTGTTTGGACAGTACTAAAAATTATTTTTTAAGTCCCTGTCACAAAATTATTTTTTAAGTCCCTGTCACATTATATGTTTGAACACTAATTAGAAGTAATAAATATAGACTATTAGCAAAACTCATTCCATGATTAGCCTGGACTAATTCCCGAGACGAATTTATTGAGCCTAATTAATCCATGATTAGCCTATATGATGCTAAGTAAATATGTGCTAATTATGAATTAATTAGGCTTAAAAAATTATCACGTGAATTAGCTCTTATTTATATAATTAGTTTTGTAAGTAGTCTATAGTTAATATTCTAAATTAAAGTCCAAACATCCGATGTGACATGGACTTGAAGTTTAGTCCCTAGATCCAAACACCACCTTAGCAAATAACCAAATAGCTCTCTTAGATTTGGACTTACAAGAGAGGTGAATTATTAACTATTTGCCACTTTTGATGACGTGGCATGCTAACATGGGAAATAAAATTCTCACCCCTTTCTATCTTTTGTTATCTCCTTCGTCCTCCATCGCTGTATCGCCATGGCCGACACGCACGCTCATCTTCCTCCTTATGCCCGCACAGTCGATTGCACTAAGCTGTCCACGTAGCTACCTCTAGCATGCCCAAGGCTCACGACTGCTTGCAAAAAGGCAAGACCACGCCCTACGCCCTATGCCGCAGTTGCCCCCGTCAAACGCGGCTGGCCTCCTAAGGTACGCTCCATCACTCTTATCGAGCTAGCCTCCTCTAAGAGCAAGAAGGCCAAGTGGACACTTCCCGAAGCTCTCCAGTGGCGATGACAAGCTTGTTTTCACCTTGTCTCCCTACTTTGAGGCCGAGTGCAACAACAGCCAGCCAAACTAAATCACCAGATTCAAAAGGAACATGTTTCTTTCCTTTGCTTCCAGCAAGTTTACACCTAGTATTCATGTGCTCTATGTTCTCCTTAGTGGTCTCATGCAGTTTTAACATCAGTTCATCACATTGTTTTGCATCAAAGTTCACCCTCTCTGAAGTTGGGAGGGGCAAAAGATCAATAGGAGCACGGGGTAGAAGGCCATAAATAATCTCAAAATGGCACTTCTTAGTAGTAGAATGTTGCGAACGATTATAAGCAAACTCAACATGAGACAAACATTCTTCCCACATTTTAATATTCTTTTTCAAAATAGCTCTAAGCATTGTAGATAAAATTCTATTCACAACCTTAGTTTGTCCATCAGTTTGGGGATGACAAGTAGTAGAAAATAAAAGTTTCGTCCCCAACTTAGCCCACAAGGTTCTCCAAAAATGACTAAGGATTTTTGCATGGTGTTTGGCACTATGGTGTTCACTTGCATGGAGTGCCAAACACCATAGTTTCTGATCGGTAACCTATAGTTTCTAATTTTTGCATGGTGTTTGGCACTATAGTTTCCAAAAATGTCAGAAACTATGGTGTTTGGCACTCCATGCAAGCGAACAATCTCACGAAAGAACAAATCAGCAATGAAATTTTCTTTTCCCTTCTTATGTTTGATGACATATGGAAAAGATTCAATAAATTCAACCCATTTAGCATGCCTACGGTTAAGTTTTGCTTGACTTCGAATGTGTTTCAAAGACTCATGATCAAAGTGTATAACAAATTCTTTGGGCCATAAATAATGCTGCCATGTTTCCAAAATTCGTACTAGAGCAAACAATTCCTTATCATAAATAGAATAATTCAAACTAGGCCCACTCAATTTCTCGCTGAAATATGCTACAGGTTTGCCTTCTTGTAACAACACACCACCCAATCCAATCTCACTAGCATTACATTCAAGCTCAAAAGTTTTATTGAAATCAGGAAGTTGGAGTAATGGTGCGTATGTTAACTTATCTTTCAAAGTCTCGAATGCATTCCTTTGTGCTGCAGCCCAAGTGAATATCACATTCCTCTTGGTAAGCTCATGTAGTGGGGCTGCAATGGTGCTAAAATACTTCACAAAGTGGCGGTAGAACCCAGCAAGTCATAGAAAGCTTCTCACTTGTGTGATCGTTGTTGGAACCAGCCAACTATGTATGGCTTCAACCTTGGCTTGATCCACTTCAATTTCCTGCGGAGTCACAACATAGCCAAGAAAAGAGACTTGATCTGTGCAAAATATGCACTTCTCAAGGTTACCAAATAAAGGTGCATCACGTAGAGCATAAAAAACAACACGCAAATTATCATGATGATCCTCTATTGATCTGCTATATATGAGAATGTCATCAAAATATACCATCACAAATCTGCCAATGAAAGCACGTAAAACTTCATTCATTAATCTCATGAAAGTACTGGGCGCATTAGTGAGACCAAAGGGCATGACTAACCACTCATATAAGCCGAATTTAGTTTTAAAAGTTGTTTTCCATTCATCTCCTAACTTCATGCGAATCTGGTGGTAACCACTACGCATATCAATTTTAGAAAACACAAGTGAACCACCCAGTTCATCAAGCATATCACCTAGCCTAGGGATAGGATGACGATATCTGATTGTGATGTTGTTAATTGCTCTACAATCCACACACATGCGCCATGAGCCATGAACTAAAAGCATGGGGACAACACAAGGACTAAGAGACTCACGCGCATACCCCTTGTCGAGTAATTCTTGCACTTGATGTTGTATCTCCTTTGTTTCCTTTGGGTTGGTCCTGTATGGCACACAGTTTGGCAAAGAGGCCCCAGGAATGAGGTCAATCTGGTGCTCAATCCCTCGAATTGGTGGCAGCCCCGGTGGAACCTCCTTTGGGAAAACATCGGCGTATTCCTGCAAAAGGTTAGTGACCGGAGGAGGCAAAGAAATAGAAGTATCCTCGAGTGAAAATAAAGTTTCTTTGCAAACCGAAGCATTGCAAATAGAAGTGTCAGGATCACTTCGTCCAAATCTGACTTTGTTGCAATGAAACAAGATCCCTTCAGCTTAATCTCATTTTTATTATTTTGAACAGAGTTGGTGCATTTCTTCTTATGCTTCTCAAGTTCATTAGCCACAATATGATGCTCACTCCTAGTATGCTCCTGAAGTTTTTGCTTGCTAGCTCTAGCAAGTTCATCCTTTAAAATAACTTTAGGAGACATAGGATGTAACACAAGCTTTTTTCCATTATGCACAAAGAAGTACTGATTGGAATTGCCAAAGTATAAAGAATCTTTATCAAACTGCCATGGCCTACCTAATAACATAGAACATGCTTGCATAGGCACAACATCACAGTTGATTGAATCATGATAAGAACCAATGACAAAATGTACTCTTACCAATTGTGTTACCTTTACCTTGCCGCTGCTATTAAACCATTGAATGTAGTAGGGCTGCGGGTGTGGTTGTGTGCTCAATGCAAGTTTCTCCACCATTTCAACACTAGCCAAATTATTGCAGCTTCCTCCATCTATGATCACGCGGCAAGAGCGTTTGTTGATCACACACTTGGTTTGAAACAAGGTGTGGCGTTGATTTTCTTCAGCCCTTTCCATTTGTGCACTTAGCACTCGCTGCACCACGAGGCTCTCATAGTGCTCTGCAGCTTCGGCCCCAATGTGTTCTTCATCTTGGTGGGGCGTGTCACCTTCCCCTGCATTGTTAGTTGCAAGCAAAGCATAGGTTTCTTCATCTAAATCACCAGCGGAGGAGTACCCACCATCAGCTCTCACGATCATTACACGAGTGCTTGGGCAGTCCTTGCACATGTGACCAAAGCCCTTGTAGTGTAGGCACTGAATATCGCTTGTCCTTCCTGATGATGCCACTAATGATGAACTCTTGGAAGGTGTAGCAGCAACCCCTCTTGCTGGTTCACTCAGGCATGGTGTAGAGTTTGTCGTGGAGGAACGTAGCTTGTTGCTTGAGGACGATGGTGCTGCTGCTCGAGTTGACGGTGCAACAGCGTTGGAAGGTGTCCAAGAGCTAGTACGACCTGCAGAAATGTTAGTCCTGAAGCTAGCTCTTCGTCCCTGCACTTCCCTTTCAGCTTTACAAGCAAGATGAAACAAACGGTTAATTGAATTATATTCTTTGTAGGCTAGAATGTTCTAAATTTCTCGATTTAGCCCACCCATGAATCTAGCCATATGTTGGTATTTCTTAACGACATTACTAGGCAATGGCGCAGAAATACTCCTGTTATATTATGGTTACAGAGTTCATCCGCAAGCGCATGGATATACCATTGTAGCATTTCACCTGAGAGTATTCCAAGGATATCGTATTTATTTAATCCCGTAGGAAGATCATAGTAGAGAGATAATAATCATAGTCTAAGCAGGGGTTAAGATAATCAAAGGGTAGAGTGACACACAAGCCAGGAACTACTCATTCTCATACTAAATTACCTAAGCTAAGTGGAAAGAAAATAGAAAGAGAATCTATTCCTATACTTCTAGTATACATAGTATACATACATTCTAGTTATCTGATTAACTAGCTAATACCCTCTATCCGATGTCCTCCTAGTACTTCAAGAAGCCACCCCTGACTGCCGAGTTCCTTACGACAGCCCGTCATGACCATACAACCGGGGCTAAATACAGAGGAGTACCCTCCCCTGGAAATTAACTTAGGACTATATACACGCGTGGAGGAATACACGTACTGAGCTGTCACCATCAGCGGTCCACCTCTCATCCGCAGCATATAACCCCAAATAATGATATCCCGTAATCTAGACACCACTCCTAAACTACCAGATACTACTCTAATATCATCGTCATGACATAGAGCAATTGCATAAGCAAACACTATACTTGTACCTATGCATCTCCCAAATAAGCTAGCAGTACAATCAGTATAACATGAATATAAAGTAAAGTTGGCATTCATATACTCGGAAAGTATTTCAATACCAGAAATGTATAAAGAAGAGTATTCTAATAAATGTACAAAGCTTACAAAAGAGGAAAGGAAAGCTACTAGAGCCATACCCGAAGGCTTCCGGACTCCGATTTCTACTCTATTCCTGCTCTACTAGCTTAAGAACACTAAACTAAACTTGAGAGAATATGAGAGAGCTTTGCTTGAGGTGTGTGAGTGAAGTGAGAAGAGGAGCTCCTTTTATAGGCATGTAATGACGATTATGACGGTTGGAAAGGTCAGTAATACCCTCCAACTGTCATTGGGGACCAATCCCAGCCATCCATCAAAACCCTACATCCATTGGTGCCACGGGAGGTTCGGCCGAACCATGGGCTGGACCGACCTAACCCAAACTCGGCAGGTGGCCTCCTCTATTGCTTCTCTGCGAAGACTTGTGAATTTTTGCCCAATTCATCGTGTCAATTCTGAGTTCTTGGCCCATTCATACATAAGTCTGATTCTCGACATCGTTCGATTGATTTATTGTCTGATTTGATGTCGATTCTCCTCCACTTTATGGTTATTCTCTGCAAAAGGTTAGTAAACCTAATACTAGTGGAATATTATTATTCTAACATAAATATGCATTGCAAGTATAACTATTTCTCCTCTATTTTGGTAATATTTACGGTCGAAACTGATCGCTAACGACCGTCAACACCATACCAGCATCATCATTTTCCACCAAACCACAACGAAGCATTCCTGTTTGCAAAGCTTGATAATACTCTTCTACATATTTGATTCCATGTCTAAGTTGTTGCAATTTATGCAGCAAATCACATGCATGATATGAAGGAACAAATCTAGCTCGCATGACTCTTTTCATTGCATCGCAGGTTTGTGGAGTGTTATTTGGATTGGAACGAACAAATTCACTCCACCAAATGGATGCAAAATCAGTGAACTTACTAGTAGCAGCCCTAACACATTTATTCTCAGGAAAATCATAACAAGCAAATTTCTGATCAATGGCTAACTCCCAAGTAAGATATGCATCAGGGTCATATTTTCCATCAAAGCAAGGAATGGTAAACTTGATCTTGCCTAAAGAATCGTCATTATCATGTACCTCCTGCCGTGGTGGAGCGCCCATTCCATGGCGCTGTTGGCGCTGTTGTCGTTGTGGACGACCAAGTACCTCCTCATCAAGCTCGGTGTCAGCAGCGTAGTCCACTTCTTCCCTTGCTGCGACGCTGCTATTAGCTTCATGGCCAATGTGGTTGCGCCTAGCCGGTCCATCATGACCATCTTGGCTCATTCTCTTCAACGTATTCAAGATACCTGCAAGAGAAGTGTTCACAGCCACAAGGGGTGTCTCCAATGAGGAAAGCTTGGAGTTGGTGTCAATTTGAGTAGCCTCCAATTGACCAAGGCGATCATTGGCGACCCTAACATCCTCATCAAGGCCTTCAGCATGCTCCCTCACTTGGTGCTCAAAATGTTGTATGATGCCCCTCGTACGTGGTGAATGTTGAGGATGCTCCCCTGATCCTCCTGTCATGGTTAATACTCCCTCCATTCTAAAATATAAGGCACAACCACCCTTAACCCAAAGACCAAAAATAATTATTATCATCTTGTAGTTTGAATCATCCTAATAAATATAATGCATGCATCCAATAGGATTAGATAACATGAGAGTGGAGGATTTAAAAAATAATAATTTAATGGAGAAGATGTCATAGTTAATTGCATGCTTGCATGCATGCCTTATATTATGGAACATCTAAGGAAAGTGGTTGTGCCTTATATTATGGAATGGAGGGAGTAGGAAGCAACAATTCACAAGAGATATGTCCTATCAACTATTGGAGCTAGGTGTTATCCATCTCCATTTCTACCAAACTTGTGCAAACGAGTTCTTACATGTTCTTACTTTGCTATGTAAAAGGCGTTGGCAACTAGCAAGAACAACAACAATGGTTAGTAGTACCAGAGCCGACAACAAGCACGATCCTGTGATGGTAGTAGATAAAAAATTGTGGAGCTATAGGTGACTGCAAGTAATGTCAAGGTACAGCTAGAACCACATTAATCAAGCAAGTTGAATAATCGCTCAATGATGGTATTGTGTTGGTCCTAGGTAAAACCCTGTTAGAGAGACGAACCTACTCACAAGTGTAGCCACTCAAAATTGCACCAAAAGAACACAAGGAAAATAACAGCAACAACTTCTTCTCTATTTTTTTCTTTTCTTCTTCTCCTTGTTTTTCACTTCTGATTTTTTTTCTTTCCTTTTTCTTCTTCCTTTTTTTAAACTAGTTCAAAGCTGAAAATTTTTCCCAATGAATTTCGAAATTACTCAAAACAGCAGGAACAGGAACAACTTCTTCTCTTTTCATTCAGCCAACATGTCAACACAATGGAGTAATGATGGGCTGGTTGGAGTTACTTGGTTCAGCCAACAAGTCAAAAGTGAGGGCACTTAAATGCTTTCTTTGGAAGGGCTAATTCACTTTACAAAGTTGCAAAAGGGTTGGCTATTGGTGGAGGTAGCAATAAATGCATTTGGGGGTGGCTGATGTAGTGATGAGGGTGCTGTTGGTTGTGGTGGACGAAAATTTGGTGCGGATGAAGGTGGATTCGTGGTGAATATGGTGATGATGGTGGCAGCGGGATGAAGATGAAAGAGGTGATGGTGGAAGTGTTTGTGGTGACGAAATTGTCAACAGAACATGAAACTCTAAAGGACTAAACTACCAGAACCAGTAACTCAACCAATCGATGCAACCGAAAACTCAGCAAGCAAAAACTAAGTAGAACAACAAAGGCTCAACTTGTTTTGGTGATTTTGGATCTGACCTATTTTGAGGTTTTTTTATGGGCTGTAGGTAAAAACAAAGGATTGAAAAATCTCTCACCGAGCAACTTGAGCTCTGATACCACTTGATGCAGCAACGGGGGTTCTCGATCTTTCGATGAGACGAGGATAAACTTCGATTTGGAGGAGGACACGACGTTGGTGGTCCGACTACAACTACCACGGGGGTGCTACGCCTTAGCAACCGGTGCACCGACTCCACGTTGTTGTTGTTCTTGCCGTGCCAAGAACAACCTTGAACCTACAAGCAATCGAAGAACAAGCAAGAACAAGTTGACAAGGAAATAGCTCACGGCGCTTGTCAAATGATGAAATTGAAACAAACGAAAATGGGGTTCTGAATACAAGTATTCGGGTTTACTAGCTGGTACACGCGAGTACAAGGACGTAGCTGAAGCTAAACTTACATCTAAACAAAACTCAAAATACAAAATGGTGGCTGCTAGGGGTTTATATAGGTGGAGGAATGACTAGGAGAGGAGGTGGGAGCAAACCCTAGTTTTTGTGGACCCCTAATGGGCTGTAAAGATACAAGGCCCAAGCCCAAGTTTCTGATGTGAAAACTATTTTCGTCATTCTGAGCAGCTTGGGTCGAATCTGATGGTGAGACCACACATAGCTGAAAGTAGACGACAAGATCTTTCCAACAAGTACTCATTTGCCCCAATTGGCCATCGAAGTGAAGAGCATTGACTTCATCAAATCAGCGCTGCTAGTGTTGTTTGTGATCTAGATCTTCTCCCATATTCCTAACAACAAGTAGATCATAACAACCACTTAGTAGCACCCAATTCTGAGAAGAACTTATATGAGTAGCTAGGAATGACTTTACCTGATAATTACGTTCACAAGCTCGAGCTCTAGTCATTGGTCCTTGCTGTGCTTAGGCATGGATGTATCGTTGGAAGGGATGTCCTCATCAGTTCTTTTTGACATCTTCACAATCTAGCAATATAACAAGTAGCAAACTAGGAATCACAAACAAAATTTTCAATTCAATATCTCTGATTTCTTGAAAACTTGAACTATTAATAACAACTAGACTTGACAATTGAAATTGATTTTAAATGACAAATTAGAAATTTTATATACCTCACTTCCTCAAATCCTCAATTGCTGAGTTCCTGCCTTGCCCCTTGCTGCTGCCGGCAGCTGCCCTTTGCCCCCTTGCCCCCTTCCCTGCTTGTTGCCGCGCCGCGCCGCCGCGTCCCCTCGTCGACCCACCCCCTTGTTGCCGCTCGGGGCCCCCAGGCCCCAGCGGCCAGCGGCCGGCGCGCCGCGTGCCCTAACTGCTGCAGTGTCGCCGGTCGCCGCAACTTCGCCTGGAAGGCTGGAACTGGAAGCCGTCGGCCGTCGCACGCGCACTCGCGCTTGTATGCCGCCGCCACTCCGTGAGTCTCCGCCTCTCTTCGGTAGGAGGAAGGAGATTAGGGTTGGGTGGGATTGTTGGGGATATTATGGGACTTCTAAGCCTTTAGGGCCTTCTAAAAATCTCAGACAAAGTCTATCTCAGCCCCTTCTTAGGATTAGGTATTATGGGGGCTCTAATGGTTTGTTAGGGGGTAGTGGGGTCTTCAGACCCCCCCCCCTCCGCCCCCACGCTGTCTCCGCCACTGTCTGGAGGTAGTGCTTCGACGTGCTGCGAGGGTCCAGCGCATACAGCCGCCGGCCGTCGACGGGCACCATGATGCCCAGCATCAGCGTCGTTGTTGGGCGAGGGCCAGTGGCCATAAACGACGTCCCTGTGTCGTACATGAAGACGGGAGAATCCTCATGGAAGGCATGCGTGGCGATGACGATCTTGCTGCCGACCGCGACCATGGCCAGGAAGGAGCGGTCCACCGGCACCTCTATGTGGACGGCGACTGGCTAAGAAAGGTGGTGGAACATGGCTACGCCAGTGCCGGCGCCGGAATCGGTGAACTCGTCGATGTCCAGCTTGTGGATGACGTATCCCATGTCCCAATCAAGCACCATGTAGAGGTGTTTATCATCGTCCCTCCACCGCGACCTTTTACTGGACGTGGCGATGTTGCTGCTGTGTTGATCCCACAACGATCGCTTGGAGCTCAACATCGTATCTTCCTCTGCATGCCCTATATTTTTTAGAACATATCAACTTGCATTGATCCGGCTTTTGGGAGAAAGCCGAAAGGACTACAGGAACAGAGTCTTACACAAAACGAAAAGAAAAACACGAACATACTACATTATTGCTGTGAGGAAAAAGTACGAATTATCCCCCCCAAACTATCGTGGTCATCCGAATTACCCCCCTGAATCACAAAACCGGACATTCTTCACCCCTAACTATGCAAACCGGACGAATTACCCCCCTCAACCCAATCCACGGTGGTTTTGGTCTACGTGGCGTACGCGTGGCAGTCCAGTCAGCAATTTATTTATTTAAAAAATATGGGACCCACTTGTCATACTCCTATTTCACTTTTTTTCTCTCTCTTCCCTCTCTCTCACTCTTCCTCTCTCTCTCTTCTCTCACTCTGTCTCACGCGCACAGCGGCAGGCGGGGGGCGGCGAGCGGCGGCGGCGGCGGGAGCTCGCGCTGCTCGAGCGAGGCTAGGCGGCGACGGCGGAGGAGGCGAGCGGCGGGAAGGACGGAGGCGAGCGTTGGGGGATGAGGCGGCAAGCGGCGGCGAGGGAGAGGGAGCTCGCGCTGCTCGAGCGAAGCGAGGCGGCGGCGGGCATCGTCCAGCGCGCGCTCCGTCGCCGCGGCTTCCTCGCGCGCCCGCTTCCGCGCCGCGTCCGCCTTCTCCAGCGCGCGCCTCACCTCTTCCCGCTGCTCCTCCTCCTCCCCTCCTGCTGCCGCGGCCACGGCGCCGCCGTCGGATGCCGCGACGACGACGACGGCGGGGCCGATGAAGAGCTGCAGCTTCGTCGTCGTCATCGTCGTCGCGTGTTGCTCGTGGGAGGAGGAGCCGGTGGTCGTGGAGTTGGACGAGAACGCGGTGGCCAACGACGCCGTGGTGGACGCCGGGAGGAGCTGCAGCTCAGGCGGCAGCGGCGGATGATGATGATGATGCCGCAGCGCCGCGGGACGGATGACCGGCAGCGTCGTCACCACGGGCACGACCTCGCCGCGCACCCGTCCAGAGTTACACGCATCCTGGTGCTCTATGAAGCTCTCCACCCTGCAACCACACGCACACAACCACCCCCAAACCAAACCACCGCCATTAGCGCACACTAACCATACCACTTAACCTCCATCTCATCACCAAACACAACAAAAATACGGCAATCGATCCGATCGACTGATCGATCATCTGTACATGTAGATCGATCGAAAGCAACGCATCGATCGAACACGACACACACTGACCGATCACCTCGTCCCCTCTCCGCCGCCTCGCCTCCTCCGCTGCCGCCTCGCCTCGCTCGAGCAGTGCGAGCTCCCACCGCCGCCTTGCCTCGCCGCCGCCGCTGCACCCCGCCGCAGCTCGCCGCCTCATCCCTCGCTGGCGCTCGCCGCCCCCCGCCTGCCGCTGTGTACATGAGACGGAGAGGGAGAGGAGAGAGAGAGAGGAAGAGTGAGAGAGAGAAGAGAGAGAAAGGGGAAAAGTGCAATAAGAGTACGACAGATGGGGCCCAACTATTTTTTAATAAATAAATTGCTGACTGGATTGCCACGCGTACGCCACGTAGACCAAAACCACCGCTGA